ATACTTTTAATTGTTGCCTCTTTCGTAATTGCAAATTGCCTTAAATCTTCTTTGTTAAGTTTTGTAAAAATGCCATACTGACTTAGCCAAAATACAGTAACTAGTTTGAGTTACACAAAGTATTCAATAGCTACAGTCACTCTAGTTACCTATTATCTTTAAAGAAATGGATATAGGATAACAATATACATGTATGTACGTAGGTATACATGTTGTCCAAACTATAAATTCTTAAAATCCCACCCAAACCCAAATCCCATGTGGAAAAATCCCAAATCCCAAACTGGAAAAATCTTATTTGGGCTGTCATAATTCCAAACCCTAGTCAAATCCCAAACTCCGGCCAAATCCCAAACTTTGACCAAATCCCAAATCCCAAATCCCAAGTTTCATATCCCAAATCCCATTCCAAATCCCAAATCCCAAATCTCAAATCCCATCCCAAATCCCAAATCCCATTTCAAGTCCCAAATCCCAAATCCCAAATTATATAGTATACAAAAAATAGAGTAAATACACATAACTGTATTATATAAAATCAAAGCAGTACTAATACCAATTCAGTTTATTAAATGGATTTGAAGGGAGATCGTCTAAAGCCACATACCTTTACATATTGATCTATATAGTGCATAAATCATATTCTTGTATCTTTATAAACCACTAACTCTAAATGCATCAAAAATGAACCCTAACGCGTACATGGCTTTAGCCATCCCCTTTGAAGAGCAAAAATTATATCTTAATTTAAGTATATACATTTTATAAATTATTTTCTCAAATTCTGTAGTTAATAATGGCTACGAGTTTTATATCTTTAGGTTCAAAGGCTCGATCATTCTTTTTAATCAATTAAAATATAAATACAATGAATTGACTGCGAATATATATAATTTTATTAAATATATTCAAGGCAACCTAAAATTTGATGGCATGATAATTAAGGCTCTAGCCTATAAACATTGCCATTTTGCAAGTTATAATCTTAATAATTATAATTATCTACAAATGGATTCGGAATCAACTTTAGGTTGATTCAAAATCTCTAACCACCTAGATAGATTGAAATTTTATTTCAATTTAAATATACAGTATTTAGAATCCGCTTAAGTGGATTCCAGATTTAATGAGTCTCTATTTCGACGTACAACAATAAATGATTTTCGTTTTTACAACATTAGTGTACACTAGAAGCATTCGATAAAAAAAAAAAAAAAAAAAAAAAAAAAAAACAAATTTAAGAACAATATTAAAATAGATTTGAATTCGACTCGTCAACAAAGTCGTAAAGAAATAAAACCGAAGGTAAACACAATGAACTTAAGGATACTATTTCCAGTCCCGGGAAAGTTGTCCTACGATTTTATAGTATCTGGCGCGGCGGCGAATTCTTAATTCAATCAACATTAATCGGAATTCGGCATCCTTATCCTTATCATGACAATTCCATTCTAAATGCTTACGAACAGTAGTGGCTTTCTTGATCAAATGATGAAGATCTTCAGGAATTTCGGGTGCTAGACCTTAAAAGAAAATCACCAATATCGTTAGTACAGTACAATCGTTCAACAAAAGTTTTTTTTTTTAAAAAAAAAATAAAGCAATCACTTATGCAAAAGTACTATTATTGACCAGGATAACCCTCGTTATTGGCCTGCTTAAAAAAAAAATTGCATACCGATATATGTTTTACTATACGATAATATTTCATGCAAATAAATGAATTACATTCGCAATTCTCACAATAAATCACAATTAACATGCAATTACAACTTTAGCGCTTGTTTTGTCCTTGTTTTTTTTTTTTACTATCGAACCAAGTAAATAATTTTTTCGTATTCAATTTTGCGCTATCACCTAAGCAAATATTTTGCCAATACAAGCTTTTATGAAATCGCATCTTTTCCATTCTGATCATTTCCTGGTCAATAATAGTTTTGCATTACTTACCATAAGACTTAAGGATTCGAAGAATTTTATTCACTGTAATATTTTTAACTGGCTTAATATCACAAAAGTTCCGAAGGTATATGCTAATTTGTGAGGGTGTTAGTTCCTTTTTTGCAAGTTCTAGTATTTGCTCACAGATGTCTTGAGGCGTAATCCTCATCCACGGCAACATATGTTGGTATGAAGAAATGGTGTTGACATTACTTTTACCAGAAATGTTCATAAAACCCATTTTATTTTAATTGTTTCCCCGCGTTATAAGTAAACTATTACTTCCCTTTAAAAAAAAAAAAAAGAAGCTGCGATTAGGAGAAAGCGTTAGAATTCTCGATATATGTATATGATGATTCGTAAATCACATTACGTGATACAATTCTTAAAATTTTTACCTATCTGATAGGACTGTGCCCGCCAAGAATCTCATCAGAAACGCATATTACATAATTTCTGACGGTAAACCTATTTTCGGTTACCAAGAAAATGATATGGGTATTCTTACTTGGCCTGAAATCTGATAAATAAATAAATAAAATAAGTAAAATATAAATAAAATAATGAATCAAATAAAACATAAAACAATATAGTAGTAAAATAAAAATAAATGAAATAAAAAAATGAAATAAATAAAATAAAATAAACTACAGTACTAAAAAAAAAAATAAATAAATAAAATAGCTTATATCTACTAACGGACAGCTTCGTAATAATAAAGCAATGTATTGTTAGCTAACCAGGACTGTATAATTTGCGAAAATATGGTGTTTTTTTTTTAAACCAAAAAAATTGACCGATTCTCTAAATCGGATGTAAATTCTATTTATTAATTGAAACTGACAATTAAAGTAGATCATTTACATCGAAATTCTTGTCTCCATGTACAATTTCTTCAACTGCATTTGAAGACTCACTATACTCTAATTTGGACGACAATGTAATAAAACTTTCGACTTCTAAGGTCACCGAATTTTCCCCAACCAAATCAATCTGTTCATCCGAAGTATTTTCCGTATCTTCTTCCATTAGCTCATTATTAAGTTCTTCCAAAAAAGAAAACGAATCTTCCTCACTAAATAAGTCAGTGCCATCTTCTATGGAATCTGCGATTTTGTTGAAAATTGATAAGAAATCCTCTTGACGAAGATCTGGATTTACATAATTAAGCTCTGACTTGGCATTCTCAACTAAAAACGAATGCATCTGAGCCATAATCTCCAAACGTTCAATACTTAATCTAAAAATAGCGTTTAAAAGTCATAGTGAGTTGATAAAGAAATTTAAGCGATTTTGGAATTTCTTAGTTAAATTTAGAAATAGGTTTCTATAGCAAAAAAAAAAAAAAAACTCTAACGAATTGCTAGTTTTTTTTTGATTTGAAAGTTTTAAGAATTTAAAGGTTTACAATTAAAAAAATTGGCTCTAATATATGTTTAATTAACCAATCAAATCAATTACGCAAGAATTGGCCAATAGACATCGATTATGTAAGCATGACGAAGTATTCTATATAAAATGAATATTTTATCCTGCATATTACAAGATAAATTATGTCCTAAAATGCTAATTTAACGAAAAATTCAAAATTCGTTTCCACTTATAAAAAAATAATAATTCACCTTGTTCGTCTTTTTCCGAAGTACCATCCTAGTATGCTAAAGACGCGCTCACAAGCAGCATTGTGGGGGGAAATAGAATGTATTTTTATAGCAAGTTTTTTAACATGATCTTCATTTCTTTTAAGATCTATAGACATCCACCAATTGGTAATTGTATCAGCGGTTGCAATAAATTTATCGTCAAAGGGGTGCTCTTGGTTTCTATACAAATTCATTTGAGTTTTTAGAAGATCCGCACTTGTTCGACCACCACCTAATTGCTTCCATATTTCTAAGGCTTTTTTAAGAACATGATTTTTGTATATAGTAGGTTCAAGAAAATCGCCTATTATCAAAAAAATAAAAATAAACAATAGAAGTAAAAAATAAAAATAAAAATAAAAAATAAAAATAAAAGTAAAAATGAAATACCTCGATAAGCTGGGTGTAAAAAAAAAGATAAAAGGTATAAATCTGTATCAAATTCCTTCCAACGCTTATTGTAAATAGCAATGCAATCACGCCGAAACTGATTATTATATAAAACGGAAGTTTCTTGAATTGCGATTGCCATTTTGACTAGTTCAACAAATACATCTGCCAATAAGGTAGTTCGAAACTCTACGTTTTTTACGGCCCGTTTTACCGGGCCAAGAATATTTCGCAATTGTTCTACGTCAATCCAAAATTGACGATCATTAATTAGATTTTTTGCACTATTCACTCGATCAAAAATTTGAGGTTCTTGTTCTAAAACCTATAAGAAATAAATTGATTTAAAATATAAAGTATAAAAAGACATTGTGAATTCACTCAAAAGAATGCTCTATAGCATTATTTAGGTAAACACGAGTATATATATTGTGTGTCAATTTAATATTTGCATCAGGTTAAAATAATTATAATCCCACTAATACCCACCTTTACTCTAATATAGTTTTTACCCAACCCTAATGAAACACTAATTTGATGCACAAAATATATAAGAAATTTAATTGTGATAGTACTGATTTTATGTTCGTTTCATTGTATAAAATAGAGTCGCAAGAATCTCATGCCGTTGACCACCGAGTTTTAGTGGTTGACTTTAAGTATCCACCGACAGTGAAGGAACATATGATTTCTTCTCTAAGAGCGGCACCAGCAGTATAAGAATTCCTAAAAAAACTTATAATTGTTTGACAATTAGAAAGAACCTTTCGCGCATGTGGTAAGCGACAAATACTACTAGAGATTAATTGTATGTGATGCACAATGCATCTAATAGGTAAAATATGTGGATATTTTGTTGCAATCTGTCGGTTTGCCACCGTCATTGCTGATTCTGCATCAGAAACTATTGCAACAAATTTTTCAGGCCCAATTTTTTCTAATACTTCTACCATTTTTTCAGCATTAAAATTTGCGGTATGAGAGAACAATGAAAAATCACGTAAAGAATATACATATTGTTTTCTTTCATCCGTCATTATTACAAAGGCATATATGCTATGCTTCATCGGACTGCACCAGCCATCTATACATAACGTAAGATTTTTAGATTTCGATAGTTCTTTTTCTACTTTTAGCATTATATTTGCTGCTTCTACTTCCAAAACTGATGTTGTCAATGCAGTTCGTTTAGGTGAATTATATCCTGGGTTTAATATCTTGGTAAAATCTTCAAAATAAGGAGAATCGAAGGCCGAAAAAGAAATACCAGAACACACAATCCATTTAATTAGCGATTTATTAGCTCTGGCTTCTTTAGTTTTATCGATGGCTTCTTTTGTATCATAATAAGCATATAGAGATAATATAGAATAGGCTGATTTTCTTTTTTTTATGGTAGATGTTCCAGATAATGTAGGCTCATCTTCATTTTGGATGTCTCGAAGCACCTTAATTCATGTTTCTTGTGGTACTCTCCCTTTACATTTCATAGCGAGGTGGGACTTCATTTTCTGAGCTCTTTCATGTGCTCATGACATAGTACAATATCTACAACGAGCCCCCTTGTGTCTTCCTCTTCCATTGTCTATAGTATCATATTCGTTCCAAATATTTTCTTGGGGTCATCCCCCATTATATGATGATTGCGTTGTCTCTGTTTGTACAGACTCTGTCTCACTAATTAAAAAAGAATCACTTGAACTTCCAATAACACTAATATTTTCGCTGTTTATAATACCTTCCATTATTGTAAATTTTTTTGGGGGAGGTTTTTTGTTCTTTTTTTAGTGTTGTTTTGGGAGTTTTTTTTTTTTTTAAAAAGAAAGAGATATATGTATACTAATTATAAAAGATTTTTTTTTTTTTTTAAGAAAAAAAAAGGTTGAAACCTTCACGAAAACAAAGTTAACTAGTGCACGAGCACTAAAGTTGGAAAAACTTTTTAAAATTCAATGCTAAAAAAAGATGTACATTATTTTATTATAAGCAAGCCAACTTTTATTTCAAAAATTATTATTTTAACATTATAGTTTGACTTACTCAATATTGGCAAAGTTGCGTAAAAGTGAAAAAAAGATATAGAAAGATATCGATCAAATTTTGAGCATTTTAAAAAATTAGAAAACAATACGTACCAATTCATTATTATTTTGCTTATCATTATCTAAAGTTTATTGCATAGCGATAGTCTTTTTTAGATCGAATCATGAGTTTTGGTAGTTTATAGAATATTGGCATTTGTATTTTGCAGTGTGTTATCGTAATACAGCATTGATAAACGATAAAGATACATTATTCAAGACGATTTTGCGCTGCTTATATACATAATTTTACACAAACCGAGATATCTGATATTGCTAATATCTAATATATCTAAGATATCTAATATAACACTAATATCTAATATCTCTCATATCTCTAGGATATTCAGATATTTGAGATTTCCATAATCGTATTACCCAACAACTGCAGTAATTTACCGGGGTGGTAAATTTACCCTTTCACAACGTACATACATATCATGTAAGTATTATTTTAGCATTAGTGCAATGGCACTAATACTATTATAAAACAGAAACTAAAGTTCTAAATTAAAAATTAGTAAACTGTTTAATGTTAGGATTTACAGTTTTTAGAGGTTATTTTGAACTGTTAATTATGTCTTTAAATAAACAGTTCTAAGACTAGTCTTTGGGAAGTATTTTTCATCATTAGCCATAATGATTACAAAAGTATGATCTTATAATAATATATTATTACAAGTATTATTATGTGATTTACATTTTTGCTCTGGCGAATTTATAAAAATAATATTTGGATTTGGGATTTGAGATGAAATTTGGGATTTGGGATTTAGAATGGGATTTGGAATTTAGGATTTGAGATTTTGGTTGGGATTTGGGATTTGGGACTTGGGATGGGATTTGGGATTTGGGATTTGAGATGGGATTTGGGATTTGGGACTTGGGATTTTGGATAGGATTTAGGATTTGGGATAGAATTTGGGATTTGACTAAAGTTTGGGATTTGGGATTTGGGACTAGAATTTGTCTGGTTTTGCCATATGGGATTTTTAAATATAGCTAGACAATCCCATTTGTCCAGATTTGTCCATGGACAAATCCTAAATCCCAAGAGTTTGTCCAGCAAGTATATACGTAGGTATATAACTTTTACTTTAAATAATGCAATGGTATATGATTATTGTACATCTATCTTGGTGTTCGAAACTATGATTTTATATTTATTTATATACCAAATCTACAGCCAACATTATTAACATAACAAAAATTACATATAATTTTGGCTTTAAAAACTTATACAAAGTTGTAGTAATTTCTAGCTCTATATATGAAAGACAAAAGTTATATCTAATACTTGTTCTATAGATAATTTTATCATTATAAATGTTGATACATTTGGTGTTATTAAATTCTCAGTTGAATGCTTGGTGTATTTAGTTTGTGCGAAAACTTATAAAAAGGCTAAATATTGACAAGAAATATAAAAAGACTCCAGATATAAAACAGACTTTTATAATAAATATATTATACAAGTAGATGCTGATATTAAAAAAGTTGAACATAGTCGAATGGTTTAAAGATGTAACTCAAAATTTCATTCAAAAATTCATGATTTTATTAATATTTATCAAATTAGATTGCAAAAGCTTTCAATACATCCATATCTTCAAAAGTGCTTGAGAATTTGACTTATAAAAGATATATTATCATCTAAATCTTTTGCAATTTTTGAAATGAGAAGCTTTCTAAATCTTTTTCAATTATTCATTAGCAAATATAATTTGAAAGCTTATATTTCTATATTTGACTTGAGATATTCATATCAGCATAATATTTATATCAGTTATCTGAACTTAAATAATATATGTAAATTTACATACATATATGTATTAATTTATAAAATCTATTATGCTTAAATCATAAGTTTAACTGAATTGGTTGAAAAATCATCTGGCTAATTTTATTAGATGTCTTAAGAATTATAATAATAGCTGTAAAAAATTATTTTAGGCTAGACTAAATTGATTTTAATGATTTAGTCACTATTAGAACTGAAATATCCTGTTAAATAACTTAGTATAATATTATAAATTTTTATAATATTATTTGAAGATTAGAATACTTTTTAAATTTTTTTATATTTTTATTAATTTTTATAGATTTGTAATGTTAAATTATAAAAATATTTAAAATATTTGATAAAAAATAAATAATATAAATATAATAATAAAATTTAGATAAGAAAAAACCTAGTGGGAAAAACCTTATCTAAATATATAATAAAAAAAATAAATAAATATAACTTATATAAAATAAATTTTAAATATATAAAAATAAATAAATAAATATAAATTTTAAATATATAATAAAAAAATAAATAAATATAACTTATATGAAATAAATTTTAAATATATAAAAAATAAATAAATAAATATAAATTTTAAATTTTAAATATAATAAATTATTTAAAATTTTTTGATAACCAGCTATGTAAACATAAGCATGCTCTTGCAGATTCACTATTTAATCTATTTCTTGTTTTGTTAATTACTTGACCTGCAATTGAAAAAAGCTGTTTACATGGAACTAAACTAGCTTGAATATATAAGTAATTATAAGCAAGTTTTGAAAGTGTTGGATATTCGACAGTATGAATATTCCACCAATCTAAAAGTTTTATAGTTTCATCTGCTTCTGCATATAACTAATATTTTTGAACTTCATCATCTATTGTTTGTGTTTCTTGTAATGAATATCTTAATTTTTGATAAAAACTTAATATTTTTAGTTTAACTATTAATAAAGTTGTTGATTTATTTTTTTTCTAATTGGTATTAAAATTTCTTCTAATGTTATATTAGAAAACAATATCTCTTATATCTAGGATCTAAAAAGGCAAAAATATGTAAAGATTCAGTTATTAAATTATGATATTTAATATATTTATATAACATAGCATTAACAACATAATCTAATTGAAAATCTTTATTTTTATCAGATTCTAAATCATTTTTAAGAACTAATAAAATTATTTGTGCATGTGCAATTGTTGGATAAGTTTGTGATGAAAGTTCAGTAGTAGCTTGATCAAATTGTGTTAATAATTGAATTAAATCTTCAAAAATATTTTATTTTTCTTGGTTTGGTATATAATTAGTTAAAATTAGATATTAACTAATAACATTTGTAAAGCTTCTTTAAGTAAATATGTTCTTTTAATTATATGGTAAGTTGAGTTCCATCTTGTTTTATAATCTAAAATTGGAACTAAAAATGATTTATCATTTATAGCTATAATATTTTCTAAATCTTTGAGAATTTTTGTTGAGTTACGAATAGTTTTAATTAATTTTCTTAATTGTTTAATTAGACTTTCTATAAGATTTAAACCAGCTATAACTATTAAATTAAGTATATAGGCTATATATCTATAATAACAAAAATTATTTAAAACTAACTTATCTTGTAAATAATTTGTAGCAGAAATTATATTAGCACCATTATCTGTTGTTAATGTAATAACTTTAGTTTCAATTTTAAATTCTTCAAGTAACATATATATTTGATTAGCAATGTTTTCTCCTGTATGTAAACCTTTAAATCGAAAAATATCTAATATAAAATGTTGTAATTTTCAATTTTTATCAATAAAATAAATAGTAATAACCAAAAAATTTTACATTTTGAAAGATGTCCAAAAATCAGCAGTTAAAGCAACACTAGTTAAAGCTTCTTGATTAATATAATTTTTTATCAAATCTCTTTGGTAATCAAATTGCTTAATAGTTAAATTATGAATTGTTTTGCGATTAGGAATTTGATAAAATGGATCTAATTTTTAAATCATATGATGATAAGCCTTTTGTTCTACTACTTTAAATGGTTGTAAAGTTAAAATAATCCAATTAAGAATTGCTTGAGTTTTTTCTACTTAAATTTTTAATAGATGTTTTGTATTAAACTTTGTTGAACTTTTGTTTAATAATAATTTATGTTGTTGTTGTAAATGACTTTGAATAGAACTAGTTCCTGTAGATAACATAAATACTTTAGGACATTGAGAACATTTTTGAGTTTCTCTATCTAGAAATTTCCAAACATCTAATTCAACTCTATTAACTAATTTAAAATTCTGCAATAATTCTAAATTTTCATTTAAATCTTCTTCATTTGTAGTTTCTGTTTCTTCAAAATTTATATCTTGCATATTTTGTATAATTTCATCATCTTATTCAATCTCAATATTATCATCATCTAAATCACTAATGTAAATAGCATTATCAAGTTGTGTTAACAAATTTTCTTCTTTACTATATTCTTCAGGAGTATCTTTTGAATTATTTGAACTAATAGACATCTATAAATTAATAAATAAATATAAAATAAATAATATAATATAAATAAATATTTTAATACAAAGAAAAGAGTTAGTATTTGTATTTCTAATAGCTACACCAGTAAGACCGTAAGAAATACACTATTAAAATAATCTATATTAATCGAAACAAACTAATATACACAATATTATTAAAGTTATAAACTCTTATATTATGGAAATTTTGACAAATCATAATCCTAACAAAAAATTCTGACAGTTAAAAATCCTGATAGTTAAAAATTCCAGCAATTAAAAACTCTAATAAAAAATATTATAGGCCATAGAAAACCCTACCGTTATCTAAAGTGACCTAATCCTGAAGTTAATTAAATTATATGAGTCT